AAAACACTTTCAAACTTTAAGGCATTCACAATCTTCTAGCAATTTTACCAGGTCATGCCTTCCATAATTTTTGTGCTTAAAGTAAACCAACACACACATATATAAATGATCAAGGAAATTTTAAAATGGACAACCCCTACTCACCGTACAATAGTGAGATGCTACATTGCTATGGATTCTAGTACGTATCTAACTAATTTCTACTTGCCAGTCTCTCATTATCTCGTCCGTCATGCCACCATGGTAAACTTTTCTTACTTACACTCTCCCTATCAACTATTCAAACCTAAAACATTTAATTATACTCATAAATGGTAGTATATCAACCGATAATCCTTAACTAAATCTCATAGTTTTTATCAACATTACTCACAAGCATTTATGTCACAATCCATACAGTTTAACTAACCAAAGCTTATTGTAGACATTTTACATGCTTACCTCTTGGTTCAAGCTTGTATTTCCAAATATGATTCACAACTTCCTCACATCTATGTCCACCTTTGCTGCCACAAACATAATCAATCAATATACATCTCATTGCTCACTCTACTTATGATTTCAAGATTAAAACACTTACCCATTGCTTATTTAGCTTCAAAATCATCATGCATTCCAAGATCTACCAGCATGCATGCCTCAGGTCCTTTGAATCTTTGTAGATTCTTGCTACCACAAACAAAATCTCACATTACAATTGATTTACAAAGCATGCATTTCAAGCAAAAAGACAAATCTTTTTTCCTTCCTTGTCTTGGGTTCACTTGGCCGAACCTTCACTTTCGCTTTTCTTCTTTCTCCTCTCTCCCCTTCTTCATTTCTTCCTTTCTCCTTTATTTCTTTCTTCCTTTCTTCCTTTGCTTCCTAGCCGAATCTCTCTTTTTCTTTCTCAAAGGTTCGGTTTTTCTCAAGACAAAGCCATTTGGTTGGGTATTTCTTTGGTGTGGGCGAACATCACAAGGTTAACTTGTGAAAGCTTTCTTTTTCTTCTCTCACAGGCAGATTACCTAAGGCTTGGTGACTTTTGACATATTTCTTTCACCTTTTATGTGGTTAAAATCACAAAACAAAGACACTTTGAA